GAGCCTGCTTCTCCCTCCTCCTGTGTCTCTGCCTCTCTATTTCTCTGTGTCTCTCATGAATAAAAAAAAAAAAAAAAAAATCTTAAAAAAAAAAAAGTACCTCTGAGTAGTTAAGTAGAGATGCTGAGTGGGCAGCTGGGATAAGAAGTTTTGGAGGCAGACAAAAATTTCGGAGTATTAAAAATACATATGGTAACTGAAGCCACAGAATGGATTAGATTAGAGGACCAAGAGTTGAGAAAGACTGTCAATTAAAGATCTGGTAGAGAGGATGGGGGAAAAACCTGAAAGAACAATCAGAGAGCAAGGGCAAGGGGCGGCAGGAATCAGAAACCAAGAAAAAAGAGCACTTCAGGAAGGAAATTTCTGAATCCAAATAAACACCTATTCTGAAGTAGGCAATTAGGAATCAGAGGTCCAGGCACCTGGATGGCTCAGTGGTTGAGCGTCTGCCTTTGGCTCAGGTTGTGATCCTGGGATCCTGGGATTGAGTCCCACATCAGGCTTCCTGGAGGGGGCCTGCTTCTCCCTCTGCCTACATCTCTGTGTCTCTCACGAATAAATAAATAAAATCTTAAAAAAAAAAAAAAGTATCAGGAGTCCAAGAATGAGTCAAAGGGAACTCCCTAAAAAAGAAGTCCAAATCGACCTTATTCTGAACATTCCCAAAAGAAATGTTATAATTCAGCTAAGTAACAATAAATTCAGTCAAAACTAATAAATCATACAAAGAGGGATGCCTGGGTGGCTCAGTGGTTGGGCATCTGCTTTTGGCTCGGGGCGTGATCCTGGGGCATCAAACTCTCTGCATGGCGCCTCCTCCCTCTTCCTATGTCTCTGCCCCTCTCTGTGTCTCTCATGAATAAATAAATTCTTAAAAAAAAAAAAGAAAGAAAAAGAAAAAAGATCAGGGACGCTTGGGTGGCTCAGTGGTTCAGCGCCTGTCTTTGGCCCGGGGTGTGATCCTGGAGTCCCAGGATCGAGTCCCATATCGGGCTCCCTACATGGAGCCTGCTTCTCCCTCTGCCAGTGTCTCTGCCTCTCTGTGTGTCTCTCACGAATAAATAAGTAAAATCTTCAAAATAAAATAATTTTAAAAAATCATACAAAGATGTACATGAAAATATTCTTTATGAGACGTGAATACAAATTAGAGAATAGGGATGTGTGAAGTTTATTCCATTTCTATAAAAACTTTCTCCTAAATCCTATACATTCCTTTTGTTTCAAAGATTTCATATAATCTCCAAATTGTTAAATCTTCTAGCACGTTAAACTGTAAGCATTTTGAAAGCAAAACCATAGTACTTAATCTTCAGTGTCTAGTTTAGTGTCTAGCAAATACTCAAATGAAAAGAAATAGTTCACTAATGAATGAATGGCACCAGAGTACTTTTGTCCAAATTGCGCTGGTGCTACAAGCAATATAGCTAAAAACAAAAACAAACAAAAACCAAACTAACTGAGGGCTCTACTCATTCTACATAACACTTGTTTTCTTTAGAAATTAAATGAAATCTGCAAAGAGATCTCATCCTTTTCTTAGGGGAAAAAACTCTTTGGGCAACACATTCCACACACAGGTCTCAATGACAAACTTGATGGCTGTCAACACCTATAGTGTTTGCAAAACTCAAGAATGTACTACCACCATATGCCAGCCAGTATTGACCGTCTGGTCATTCATTCCAAGGAGCTGTAGAAAATAGCAATGCTCAGACTTAAAAAAATAGGTCCTTACTTTCACAAAAATCAAACTCATCAGTTGCAGTATATATCTGAAAATTGCTGGCACTTAGCTGATATTAACAGTTCCTAATTGTGTTTTAAGTTAAAATATCAGCTAAAATCTATTATATGTATTCTAAAAGAAATGGTCTAAAAAAAATCATCCCATTTTTCTTTCTTACTTAAATAATATTTCATTTATTTGAGAGAGAGCATAAGCAGGGGGAGCCGGAGAAGCAGGCTCCCTGCTGAGCAAGGAGCCAAATGCGAGGCTAGATCCCAGAAGGCAGATGCTTAACCGACTGAGCCACCCAGGCGCCCCATTGCATTTTTCTTTCCCTAAATTTCTATCAGGTATTTTGGCTAGGAGTCACACATTTCTATGCTACAAGAAAAGCACCGATCAATAAAAATAAATACATTAGTAAGTAAAAAAATGCACTAATTTGGAAATAAGTATATTCCCAGTTGCACTAACTGTCCAGACTAATAATAATGAAAAAAAAAAAAGAAAAAAGAAAAGAAAAAGAAGAGAACACAGCTCATTTATTCTGAAATGTGAGCAAACTTCAAATAAAAAGCCCAGCTTTTTGGAATTCATCTCTTCGCAGTGAATTAGGCATGGAACAAATTATGGACTTACTAAGAGAATGAAACTCTAGATTTTAATGATATATTTTGTATTCTAGGATCCCAATTACTGAATTGATAGGGAGAGCCTGGAAATATGGTGGTGGGTGGTGAGGCTAACCTGAGACAGATCATCCAATCCTTCCCTTTGGTTAATTTATACAAATATAAAATAAGAATATAAATATCATCAAGGGGTGACAGTATTTAAGTAAGACTGTTACGCTGAAGATACGTTAACTTTTTAAATCCTTTGGACTGAAGGCTAAAAGTCAATTCTACCTTCATGAACTGAACTGAAAGTCTCAGGGTCCTTTGCTCTTGTTTGAAAGAATTGTGGTAGTTACTTAGCACAGATAGAAAACCAATTCTGAAGTCACACAACCTAAAGAAAAGCTAAAAGCAATGACTTTTAGAAAGGGTATTTGAAATGCTCTGGAAAAGCGCACGACAGTTTAAGACAAGCAGTAAATAGTCATCAAACCATTACAAATCAGGACAAAATAGGGAGAACTTCCATAGAGCTCCTATATATTCTCTTCAAAATGTCCTTTGCTTACAATACTCTGCTCACAAAGCCCTGGCGAACACGAAGATGCAGATTTGTTTACCACACCTTTTTACCTTTTACCCACAAGAGTCAGTTCATGTTTAATCCTGTCATTCTATACCACTGAAGAAATCTAAAGCAACTGCAATATACTATGCTAAATTCCAAAAAATAAAACCAGCTAAACTCCGGAAAAAACGTCGCAACCACGATTCACAGTATATTTAGTCAGAAGCTCTGGAATTAAGTCTATTTTTCTGCATTCTTACTCTGAACAATACCTAAACTTTCTTTAGGGGGTAAAGGGCTTGATTCCTAAATTATTACTCCCCTTCCCTACAGATAGGTTATGTACTCGAGATGTGCTGTTCCTCCGTTTATCGGGAATTTAAAATCCCCTTCATTTACACAGCTTGATTTTTATAGCGCTTTCACACTCACTCACTTGCAAGGCTGCACAACACGAAACGTACAATCATTTTAGACGAATCCGGCACAAGATCACGCTCATCCAGTCCAGAACTTATTCTACCTCGATTTACTCGATCCCACAAAGTACGGTCCTGATGCTACCAACAAAATAAAGCGTGAGCACGATGAAATCTGTACCGCTTGCAGGTTCTCAAGGAACAAACATTCCTTCAAACGATAAATCCACACCCGCCCGCCTCGCAAAGAAAAAGTAATCCCGATTTTAGAAACAGTCGCAAGCGGAGGAAAGCAACGCAAACTCCAAACCACACATTCACGTAAATCCTTTCAACTCGAAAGCTCCAAACGCAGCCACCAGCCACACAATTGGCCACAATCGCAGCTTTAGCGCCTTCTCGTAATTTTGAATCTGGAGACTAAAGGGAAAACAAAACAGTCGTCCAAAGTTTCACGCAGGAGGGGGGGAAAATCATCGTGAGTAAAGGAAACATGCTAATCAGGAGGCGACCGCGCCGTGGCCCCGCACCCCGATTCCCCTCTGCCAGCCCTCCCAGCTACAGCTTGTCCGAGACACTGACAGGAGGCAGGAGTCCCAGCCGCGGGGCTGGAGGAAGGAGTCTCACGAACCGCACGCCGCCGGAGGGATGTCAGGGGCCGAGCGTCGGGAGACAAAGACCAGCCCGCGAAGCGCCCGGGCGGCGAGGGGCGGCCCCGGCACGGCCCTGCGCCCCTAACCGCCCCGAGGAGTTGCGAGCACCGCCGAGCGCCGCCCAAGTGCGCGCCCGGGGTCCTCCGGGCTCCCCGCCCACCCAGCGCGGCCGGCGCCGCCCGGGCCCACCCCCGGGCCGTTTCCCTCCCAATTTGGGAACCGCGCGCCCAGGGACAAAGGGGGAGGGCGCGCCGGGGGCGGCGGCGGGCCGCGGGGCAGACGCCCCTCGGGGGTCGGCGGGAAGTCTCGGCAGCAGCCCCCCCGCCCCCCCACGCGGCCGCACACTTCCCGGGACCCCTGCCCCCCCCGCAGCCCCTTCCCCCGGCCTCCGCACAAGTTCTCCCGCCCCCCCAGCCCCGCCCCTTGCCCGCTTCGGAGCCGGCCCTGCGGCCGCCCCTCACCGGGCGGCGTGTTCCCCCGGAGCCGCCTCCTCCGCCGGGCCTCGGCCCGTCCCACCGGCCGCCGCCTCATGTGCCCCGCGTCGCCATCGCCTTCGCCGCCACCTCTCCTCCAACTCTCGCCGCCGCCCTCGCCTCAGTCTCCAGCCGAGGCCGAAGCCGCTCCCGCCGCCGCCTCCCGCTCCCGCCGCCCGGACCCGCGGGGAGGCGCCTGCGCACTACGCGCCGCGGTGGGGGCGGGGGCGTCCCGCCGCGGCCTGGGAGCAGGGGGCGCGCGGCACGTGGCGCTCGGGTGGGAGGGGGCGCCCCGGAGCGCGCGGGCGGCGGCGCGGGCGTCCAACTTTCCGCGGGCGGGCCCTCGCGCGCTCCCGGGCAGCCCCGGAGGCGCGGAGCGTGTGGGTGCCACCCGCGTGGAGTCTGGCCCCGGGTGGGCGCAGACCTCGCCCCCAGGACAATTCATTCCTCCAGCTTGCTCCTTGGGGCAGCAGCCCTCCGCAGCCAGCGCCTCACTTTGCGCTTTGTGCCTCTGTCTCTGCGGGAGGACACGCCTTACCTGGGCATCCTAGGTCGGTCCTACGAGCCTCGGAGTTGTCTTCTGTGCGCTCCGCCGAGGCCTGGGTCCAGTGTGACACATCAGGATGCTGACGCCCTGGTCTAGGTTCTGCTCCTACAGGCAGTCGTCGGGCTACCCATCCTCGCTCCTTTGAGTCGTGGCTTTTAGTGGCGTTCTAGATACTTTTGAGGTGGGATCCCTGGGTGGCGCAGCGGTTTGGCGCCTGCCTTTGGCCTAGGGCGCGATCCTGGAGACGCGGGATCGGATCCCACGTCGGGCTCCCAGTGCATGAAGCCTGCTTCTCCCTCTGCCTATGTCTCTGCCTCCCTCTCTCATTCTGTGTGACTATCATAAAAAATTAAAAAAAAAAAAAAGGAGGTTAGATACTTTTGAGGTCCTGGGCTTCTCGGATTTGCAAGACCCTAATAGGCCATTTCCTCTTAACCCCTTGCATCCCAGTAGGATCCCATTCAAAGGACTTTCTGAAGATTTGCACGCATGGGAATCTCCAGCCTTAAACTTCCTCGCCTCTGAGGAATCTGGAAACTCCTTAAAAATGCTTTTAAGTACAGTGAGTCCGTGCCTAACAACGGAAGTCGTACTAAGGAGATGATAGAGTACTTGGTATTGTGTTAGACTACTCCTGAATTAACTCATTTGACCATCACTATACAAAAGGATAGGCTTCCACTTTACCCTTTTGACCACAGAGGAAATTAAGCTCTAACAAATGAGGTGACTTGTTACAGGTCAAACCCTCCCATCCCGAAAGCCAGGCCGGAACTAAAGGCTAGTTCATAGGGCTGGGCATCTGGCCCACTGACAAAAGTTTTGTTTGGCCAGTACAATGTTTTCTAAAAGTATGAATTAATTGCCGAAAGTTTAAAATCCAGAATTTTGGCTTCTCTCAAATAGTGGGAGGGGAAATGCGCCCTTTGAGCCTCTAGTTTCAATGGGTGCCTACTTCTGAGTAATATTTATTTAGGGCAGGCACTGTCTCCATTTAGCTGTTTGAATCATTTTCATTACCTGCTTGACCTCTGTATTTAAGTTCTCTTCCCCCCAAACTTGCCATGCCCTAGTCATTCCCACCCCCCCCCCTTATCACATCACCTTTCTACAAATGTATTTAAAATGACAAGTGTGAGGACCCTGTAAATATATGAAGATACGATAAAGAACATATCTTACTCGGGATGCCTGGGTGGCTCAGCGGTTAAGTGTCTGCCTCTGGCTCAGGGCATGATCCTGGGGTCTGGGGATCGAGTCCTGAATCAGGCTCAGGTTGTGGTCCCTGGTCCTGGGATCAAGTCCCACATTGGGATCCCTTCAGGGAGCCTGCTTCTCCTTCTGCCTATGTCTCTGCCTCTCTCTCTGTCTCTCCTGAATAAATAAAATCTTAAAAAAAAAAAAAGTCAAACTAAAATAACACAGGAGACATCACTATATAGATTAAAATATTAAAACTAATATCCTGCTAGTGCACCTCTACATTGGTACAAATCGCTTTGGAAAATGGCAGTATCTACTAAAGCTAAACTTATGCCTACACTATGACTGCAGTTCCATGGAAATTCCACAGAAATGTGCACAGATGTTTCCCAAAATACATGTAGTAACATGTTCATAGCAACACTATTTGTAATAGCCAAAATACTGGAAACCCCCCAAATGTCCAACAACTGTAGAAAGGATATGTGAAATGTTATAGTCACACAATGGTACCTTTGCAGCAACGACAATGAATGATCTACAATTACATGAGATAGATGAATCTCACAAAACTTTCCATTAATATGAAGTTCAAAAACAGGTTAAAGTATCCCTTGTTGGGATCCCTGGGTGGCGCAGTGGTTTAGCGCCTGCCTTTGGCCCAGGGCGCGATCCTGGAGATCCGGGATCGAATCCCACATCGGGCTTCCGGTGCATGGAGCCTGCTTCTCCCTCTGCCTGTGTCTCTGCCTCTCTCTCTCTCTCTGTGACTATCATAAAAAAAAAAAAAGTACCCCTTGTTGTTAGGAGTAAGAATAATGGTTACTTAGGGGTAAGGTTAGTCACAGGGAGCATGAGGGGGCTTTTGGGGGACTGGTCCTGTTTTAGATTGGATGTTGAATACACGAATATATTTAATTACCACATCTGAGCTGTACACTTTTTTTTCCCTCAAGATTTTATTTATTCATTCATGAGAGACACACACAGAGAGAGAGAGAGAGAGAGGCAGAGACACAGGCAGAGGGAGAAGCAGGCTCCATGCAGGGAGCCCCATGTGGGACTCCAGGATCACGCCCTGGGCCGAAGGCAGGCGCTAAACTGCTGAGCCACCCAGGGATCCCTGAGCTGTACACTTTTGATAGTACACTTTTGTGCAGCATATTAAGATTTCAATAAAAACCTTTAAAGTGTGGGGCGCCTGAGTGGCTCAGTCAGTGCTCTCTTCGGCAGCACATATACTGAGTGGCTCAGTCGGTTGGACGTCTGACTCTTGGTTTTGGCTTGGGTCATGATCTCAGGGGTTTGGGATCAGGCTCTGCATTGGGTAGGGAGGCTGTTTGAGATTCTCTCCCTCTGCCCCTTGCCCCCGCACGCTTTCTCATTCAAATAAGCAAATCTTTAAAGCATATAAAGTGGCGTTAAAACATTTGATTATGTATGCATGTATTATATGTAAATAAGATATATTGAAGGTGGGGGATCCCTGGGTGGCTCAGCAATTTAGCGCCTGTCTTCGCCCAGGGCGTGATCACATCAGACTCCCTGTATGGAGCCTCCTTCTCTCTCTGCCTGTGTCTCTACCTCTCTCTCTCTCATGAATAAATAAAATCTTAAAAAAAAAAAGATACATTGAATGTACATTAGGTATTATTCTCCTATAAATTCATGGATGAAACTGCTGAGGAAGGCTTCCTATCTGCCCATTCTTCATGGAGACTGGGAACAATACCTTACCTTACTACCAAACCTGTAGCCCCATCTGTCTTCTGGTAGACGAACCTTTTAAAGATGAAATAATGATACCCAAGGAAGTTATTTTACCTGCAGATAAGTTAAAAAACAAACCAGAAATATAACTCTTCTTTCTTCTATCACCTTGCTAGCTAGTGACATCTTTTAATGGGTTCTCTGATCCAGGCAGTCAGCAGCGATGTAGGAAAGATGCTAGAGTTCGAAGCTGATGGCCAAGAAAGAATTCTTGAGACGTCTTTGGTGCAAAAAGGTAGTTTTATTAAAGCACGGGACAGGACAAGTGGACAGAAAGAGCTGCACTGGGCTTATGAGGAGCAATTAATTACATACTTGAAGCTGGGGGAGGTGAGGGAAAAGGGAAGTTTTCAGAAGAACTTTCATATGGTAAAGAGGATCTTTAAGATACTGGAGGGCTTGTCAATGTCAAGTTAAGGTTGTTTTTTCCCTCTAGCAAGGCATTAGCATTAAGACAGTAGGGATCTTCCTGGAGGAACATTATAGTCTCCCTGGTTCAAGTATTTGTCAATGGGCTACAGGACATTTAATTTTAGCACACTTCCTTCTGGAAGTTAGGTTATTGATAAGAATTTTTTTTTCTTAAAAATCACTACGACATTTGTAAACTGAGGGAGACTCTTGTCTTGCAGGATTTAGAAATATATAATTTCTATATATGTTTCCTTCCCTTAGCAGCTGGGGGTGCCTGAGGAATGTCACACGTATCCCACCTAGGGGGTGGTTGTGGCGGTGTCAGCTTGTGCTTTGTCTTTAGTTTGCCTTCTGCTCCTTCATCAACCAGGATCTGGAGCAAACCAGGGCAACTACTAGAATGTGAGTTCCCTGAAGGCAGGACCAATGCCTCTCAGCTTCTGGAATAGAGTTCAGCCCATAGTAGGTGCTTAGCAAGTATATGCAGAGTGAATGAGTAACAGAGCTTGTCTGGCTAGCACAAAAAGGACTACGAGAGGGAGGGGAAAAAGAAAAAAAGCCCCAAGCTTCAAATAGGGAATGGGTCTGGTTTCCAAGCCTTCGGCAAAGAGCAGTGCAGGCGGGTGCTGTGAGAACCGTATTGCTTTTTATTCACATGGGGCTCAGGCAGGAAAGGATCAAAATCCAGTTTGAGAACTTGAGAGTCACCCTGGGGCTCTGCGGTTTGGGAACTGCAGGGTCAACTTGAAGACTCCAGTGTGTCACTATTTCCATTACACATTTTCCAGGGTCCCTACTTGGCTGATAAAGTCAGAGTAGATTGTTGTGTCCTGGGGGATGGGAGAAAAGGCTCAGAGAGGTAGAATTTTCAGAAAGCTCCCTGTTGGCAACAGGAAGCCCTCCGGGGCCAGGGCCCCCGACTGGCTGGATAGTGAGGAAGCTTCTTGTTAAAGCAACTCTTGATTGCACGTGCTGATGGGGAGGCGGGTGTTTGTAGCACATCCCTCTCCCGAGTAATCCCCTGCAGTTTCAGTTGACCTGTGGGGCACATTATACTGTTTCTCTCAGCCACAGGGATGGTAAGGCAGATTTTTTTTGTTGTTGTCAAAAATTTTTTTTGAATATGGTAATACAAGTAGTACAGAAGAACAGTAAGATGACCCCCACCAGTGCTTCCCTGAGCTCAGTTAGCAGTTCCTGTGTATTAATGAAGAAATTTAAATTAAGGTCAACTTACTTGTAAATGAGGGATAGGTGAAGTGTGTGCAGGAGATGGGGGTTGGGGAGAAGGGTATGGGAGAGGACCTGTTCTGGTACTACCCACTAGGGAAGGACTTTTGGATGCATTTAGAACACAGTGGGCTGGCTCAGGAACTACCCTGCATTGGTAAGAACCAGTGCAGTAGGTGTACAGTCTTTGAATTTCTGGAAGTTCTCTCTGCCCAACTATTTGTACTTGTTTACTCATATTTCTAAGATGGTGTGAGAATGTGATGGTGAAATGTACATGAAGTCCCATTATTACTTGCTGTGTTAATTTTCCACTGTAAATTGGTCTATAGTGGTTAACATTATTGGTTGGATAGCTCAGCCATTTAACTTGCTGTGCCATCTGGCTGTTACTTAACCTCTGTGAGCCATGGTTTAATCTGTAAAATGGGGATCATGAAATCCATCTGTTGGGGCTGTTGGGAGGATTAGGTAAAATATATTAAGTGCCAAACCTTGTAGGCTCCTAAGGCATTAGTCCCCTCCCAGTGTTCTTTAGAGGAAGCCAGGTAATTTGGATCTTAGCAAAACACTGCAAATCTCTGGAGCATCCATTCGTCATCTGATACAGGTGTGTCTTAATACGCAGTTCAAAATTGGTCCTTCACAAGACGTGATTCTACATCGTCAGCATTACTACAGTCGGATGCAGCCTTCCAATCACTTCTATCCACACCCTCTTAGCTTTTTCAATATGTGAGTAGTCTCCCCAGAAAGATTAGTGGTGCATCAAGGCACTTTCCTGGCCCCAGGCCTGTGGCTCTTGGGGCTGTCCTTGGACAAATACTGCAATGTCCTTTGAACTCACTGCCTGCTTTCAAGGGAGGGGATGTCCTACCCTCCTTACCCCAGGCACTTCCTAGAGGCTGCCTCAGCCTAGGCACGTTATCTGGAAACTTCCACTGCCCCAGCCTGTTCCTGTTTCCCGATTCCTAGCACCTCAAGTCCCTGAGACACTACTATATATGGCCTAATGCTTTCTCTCCTGCGATTCCCCCAGCCCTTCAGCCTGGGTCCTTCCAATTCAAACATCGTCTTCTGTTCTTTGTCCAGTTCATTCTTTAGCATCCCCTCACTCACAGCACTCCTTAGCTCAAGGCCCCTAGCTCCCTTGGACTATATATAGTACAGCAGTGTCTTAGATTGTGTAGCACTTCGAGTCCTAGCTACCCCCTGCCAATGCAATAGGGAGAACAAGACTGAAGCTTTTAGTTAGGGTCAGGAAGCCCGAGAAAGAAAAGAAACTTGGAGAGGGGGGCAAGGTTGTGCTGAATTGTGACCACTTAGAATATTGTAACCTTTCTATCTGTTGTCAGGGACTTTCCACCTCTCCCGCAGCCTGCTACCCGTTCCCTGACACTTGCTCATTTTGGAGGAAGAGGAGCAAGCAGTGTGCAGGGGAATTCTAACAATCATCTTATTTAACTCTTACAGTGATTCTATGAGTAGATGCTACCTCTATTTTACAGACATAGCATAGAACCAAAAGAAAGTTGAGGTTGGGATCCCTGGGTGGCTCAGTGGTATAGCGCCTGCCTTCGGCCCAAGGCTTCATCCTGGAGTCCCAGGATTGAGTCCCACATTGGGCTCCCTGCATGGAGCCTGCTTCTCCCTCTGCCTGTCTGCCTCTCTCTCTCTCTCCATCTCTCATGAATAAATAAATCTTAAAAAAAAAAAAAAGGTTTGAGAGGCATAAGACCAAGTATTCAGAGTGGTCATTCAAGCAGCTAACTGACCCCATGTCTGACTGTGGCCTACACTCTGGATCCATTAAATCTGTCTGCATCCCTCAATTAGACTCCTCTAAATTAGAATTTCTAGGAGTCTGACATGACCTGGAAGGAAAAAAGATTTACTAAGTAAATTACTAAAGTAGAAATGCTTAAATAGAAATAATTATTGAAGACATGGCATAACAAAAATGTTATAATTTATCATAGCTGTTTACTGAAGTAGGACTCTATATAGAAATCTGTTCCTTGAAGTTTTAGTTACTGTGTGTTCTCAGAAGTAAAAAACAATTTTATTTCTTCTATTTCAAGACTTTCTTTCCACTCTACAATCCTTCTCCCATTAGTCCAGAGCAGTGAGATTTGACTTTAGGAACAGTTAAAATCTGGAGGTTTTTTCTGTTCCTTACTATGACCTGGGGCAAGGCCTTTAACACAAGCCTGTTTTTCATCTGTGAAACAGGAATAGTACCTACCTTACAGAGTTGTGAGGATTAAATAAAATAACCTAATTAAAGCAATTAGCATATTTCTTCCCCACAGGTACTCAGAAAACTCATAGCAACTTTGTATATTACTCTTTTCTCCAATCTGGGCTGAGTTGCTATAGGAGCATCAGCAGAAGCCCAAGAAGGGAGAACTTCTCAAGGAAGTTGAATTTCACTTTCCATTGCTTGGCCTCTGTTCTCCAAAGAGCTTGGAGTTGATCTTGATTTTTGCTCTGTTTCATCCAGGCATTTCCATCTCACCTCTGACCCAGACCATCCATCTCTTGAGAATTCAGGCCACCATTGGGACCAGGAGAGGCAGCCCAAGAGAGTGTGTGTGAATGACTGGGACGAGAGTTCCCATGGACGCTGGGGATATGTGAGGGCCCTGGGGAACTGCTCTGACCCTGGATCTCTTCCTAGAGCAGTGAGTGCTGGGGAGAGAAAAAAGACATCAGCTGCTGGACGGACTTCCAGTGCTGAAAAGCCCCTTTAGACAGACACATGGGGCTGAGGATCCAGGGAATGAACAAAGGCCTGGGATGGAACAGGACTCTCCATACTGTACTCCAATCTTTTTTCACTTGCTTATTGGCAAGAAGGTTCTTTCCTCCTCTTTTCTGAATCCAGGGTACTACAATTGATTAGCATTCCTAAACTTCAGCCTTGATGGAGAAAGAGGGTTTCTGCTTGGCCAGCCTATGGGAAGCAGGATAGAAGTACAAACTCTGGAGCCATTCAGACCTAGATTCAGATCATGACTGTCATTTACTAGCTGTCCACCGTTAACATAAGTTAGCCTCTTAGCTCAGTTCCCATTCTATGAACAAACAGCTACTTATCATGTAGAACAACTTAAAGGCCCGAAATGTAAATACCTCAAAAAAAAAAAAAAAAAGACAATATAGGTCTGTTGTCACCTCTGTCCTGAGTGAGCATCTTACCTGGAGTCAGTTTAAGGAGCCCTGGAAATGGAGGAAATCCTAGTGGTTACAAACTGGATGAATCTCCTTGGTCCTGAAAGCATCCTTGAAAGGATCGAGACCCAGACCAGAGGGCCTGCCTCCCACAACTGGGGCTTTTTTTTGGGGGGGGGGGGGCGTTTTATTTGTATCCCACATTGTTCATGAGTGTTTGAAGCAGTATAGCTTGGGTGGGGGGACCCAGGATCCCTAGCCTCTATATTCCCAGCTCAGCTCTCTGTAGCAGGTCCCTGTCTGATCCAGCCCCTTACATCCATGGGAATAAACAGACTGAATCTAGTTAAGGGCTCCCACCATTTCATCTTTCATTACTTTTCAGTGCTTGTAACCCTGGCCTGGAACTCAGCAAGTGGGGGGTTAAGACTGATGCCCTGGCCTATCTCCTCCCCTCTCCATTCCTGACTTCAAAGTCCCCATTAAAGCTTGCTTCCCTGACCCCACAGTGGCAGCTCCATCATCGACTTCTGGCCAGTTCAAAACAGCAGATGCTGAGCCCTGGCTGGGCTGCTCCCACTCTACTTTCTAGCCATCTCCTAGGGTAAGCACCAGCATGCTGAGAACCTGTGGGGCCCGACAGTCCTTGCTTCTCCAGGAGAGAAGCAGCAACTAGGAATAGAGGTCACCTCACACAGGGAGTCTGTCTCATGGTTAGACCTAGACGGCACCCCATAGGCAAAAGCCCTGGTCTGTGGACCAGGACTCTGGGAGTCTAATTTGTAGTCAGAGAAGATGTTTACTGGGTTAGCAAGTAGAGCAACAGGGATCACCTATCCTGGGAACGAGGTAAGGGTTTGGCAATGGCAATGAACCTGCCAAGAGATGAAAACGGGAGTTCAGGGACCAGAATTAGTTCTGTTAGTACTAATGTCCAAAATCCATGCTAAATTATTCACAAATCAATGTCTAATCATTTTCATGTTTGGATCTGGTGATTCAGTAACCAGTGCTGGAACACTGTCCGGTATGGCTCTGGTTCCCCGGGGCCAGATCCTGTTCTGTAGCTCCCTCAGGAACCACCGTCACAGATTCAAGGCCAGTGGGGGTCCCAGGGCTCAAGGCCTGTTCCTCCCACTCTCATCTGTGGATTTTTCCAGCTGCTTTTCTTGATCCAAGGATCACACAGGGATACAGATGGAAGGGTGTGTGTGTGGGGGGGCGGCGGCAGGAAAACCAGTTTAGTCAGAATGAGCTGGGGAAGAGGCAAATGTTAGGAAGAAATGGGAGAAATGGCACTCGTGGTCCAGCCATCTGAGACAAGGCACTTGGGACATCTTTTCAAGTAGCGGCTGAGTTGAGGCATGGTAAGAGAGGGTCTTAGCAGGCAACTCCCTCCTTTCTCCCCCAAACTGAGGAGAATCGGGAGTTCTTATTGTGGGGTCCCTCCTTCTAGGTCTCGGCTGAAGCCTCAGAGCCCCAGCTGCTAACATCTGGGGCCAGGATCATGTCTGCTAACAAAGGTTGGTGGGTACCACCTGAGGGTGAAGACAGTGTGTCTCAAAAGTTCCTGAGGAAGACCAGGGAGTCTCCGCTGGTGCCTATAGGTGAGTAGGACAATAAGGAATGAAGGTGAGGAGGGGCTTTCCCTCAGAGATGAGGTCTCATCTTTTCAAATGAAGCAGAGAACTCAAGTGTCATACCCACTAAGCAGTCAACAGCTAGGAGAGGAGTGAACCAGCAGCAGAGGTGCCAAGGGAGAAAGGGACATGCCTGACAATGAAATGAGGGAGTCTGAGTGGGTGGAGGTGGAGGCCAACTGCAGACCTGGGGTGTGGGGACAGGTGGGGCATTAGCACCAGCATCAGGATAGGAGCAGTTTGGGATCTCCCAGGGCTTCCTTCCTCATGGCCTTGGGAGAGTATGAAAGTAGTTGGGGGAGCCAACAGAGATGATGGGGGTAGGAGGCTCAGGATGGGCTACTCATACGTACAGGGATCACTGGAGGGGGGCAGCAACTCAATATTCTGATGATGCCGGCCCCTTGCCATGTACAGTGGCAGGAAAGTAGGGGTTTGTCTAGATGCCCAACTGCCTGGTGAGGGGTCTCTCATCAGGGGAGCCGTGTGGTTGGTGACTGAGGGCCAACCATCACGTTCTCTGCCCACAGGCTTAGGCGGCTGCCTGGCAGTGGCAGTCTACCGCATTTATCGGCTGAAGGCCCGTGGTTCCACCAAGATGTCCATACACTTGATTCACACCCGAGTGGCAGCGCAGGCCTGTGCTGTGGGTGCGGTCATGCTAGGTGAGTGGCTGCTAGGGAGTGGGTGGCCCTAGGAGAACAGGACAGCTGATGAGGAAGAATCTGCCTGGGAGTCCTGACAGTTAAGGGATCATGATTTCAGCCTCCGCCCCCTCCGGACGGCTCCACAGCAAGCCCTGGGTGAAGTCCTCAAGCCAAGCCATTTTCAGGGTTCCCTGTTTTACCTCCTGTCCCAGGGCCAGTGGGGATGGTACAGTTGGTTTCATGAGTTTGTCCTAGAGGTGAGCAAAATCACACAGCAGAACGCATGCTGACTTTCTTTTCCTCTGTGGGTCAAGAGGCAGACAGCTACTTACTAGCTGGGTGACAGCAGACAAATCCCTCCTCTGAGCCTCGGTGTCCCTGTATACAGCATGATGATAAGCAGCCTGGCTTGCTGACCTCACAGATTGCTGTGACGTTTCTCCGATAGGTGATCTATGTGGAAGGGCTTTGTGAATGGTCAAGGGGGGGGGGGGTTTCCCTAGGCCATGTGGTCAGGTGCTGGCAGCAGCTGTTGAGATCTCGAGCAGAAAGATGAGCAGGGCAGCTGGACTCTCAGGGGAATGGCTGGAGTCAGTCCCAGGAGAGCCAGAGGATGCGTGCAGGGTTCCGTGTTATGGGATGTTTTCCCTTCTCCTTCTCGCAGGTGCTGTGTATACAATGTACAGAGACTATATCAAGCGAACAGCACAGGATGATGGGGAGAAGTAGGATTCCTGTAGGGCCTGGGGCAGCCAGAGCCTCTTCCATCGATCCCTGGTATGTTCCTAATAAAGCAGTTTTGAGGAAAACCAAGTCTCTTCTTCACATGGGGATACAGGAAGGTACTGGTAGTGGCTGGTGTATGTGTGGTGGTGGTGGAGGGATTAGAGAAAGGGCTAGAAATCAGAGTTCTGGCTCCCTCAACTCCAGAGCAAGGGAGATTGTTCAATGGGAATGGCCTCTGGTTCCAGAAGCCTAACATCTCCCAAGCCATCCCAGGTCCCACCCAGAAAAAGCATAACAGAAAGACAGGTGTGGGTGGGGAAAGGTGGAGGCAAGAAAGTGGCCTCAACATTCATGGGAACACTGAATTAAGAGGCAGGCATCCATCTCACCACAGATTGCTGCCCTGGGGACCCGGGCAGGAAGACTACAGCTGGGAGAAGAGACACAGGAGACATATATTCAGAACCCAAGTGTCAGGACCAGAATACGCTGGAGAGAAGGGGATGAGGGGGAGGGGGAGGGGGTGTGGGGATGAAAAGAACAGAGTAAGGCAGAGGTCAGAATGTTCTGTTCAGTTAAAAACCATGTCTAAGGTCAAACTTGTACAAAAAAAAAAAAAATTCCACGTAAATGCTGAAGACAGGGCCCCTTGGGGTTAAACACTTCATCCCCTTCTTCTGAGCCCAAGCTCCACTCTGTTCCCTGGGAATGGAGCCAGGCAGAGGCCGCAGAGGAACGAGGAGGCCAAATATTCCTCCCTTGCTGGGACTCTGGGTCGGAGGGCTTGGGGTTGTTAAAAATGGCCATAGCAGCTCTCAGACGCTCGCTGACAACATGGGAGTCCGGGTCACACCAGGTCCCAGCTTTAAGTCCAGGATACAGCCTGCTGCAGGGAGCAGGGGCTGCCAGGCGTCCCAGCACTCACATGGGGTAATTGAGTACAACATCCTGCTTGGCGAGCTCCAGCAACATGGGATCATCGAAGAACTTGCTGATGCTTACATCCTCACTCAGGCCCTGCAGAATGGGGGCAGATGCAAGAAAGAGCCCTATGTGGTGGCCACCAGAGCTGGGGACTGCCCAAGACCTGTGCTGGAGGGGGAGGATGGTGGGAGATGGAACTTTTGCCCAGCTATTCAGGAATTGCCACTGGGGAGGAGAAGGTGCTCCCTTTCCAGCCAGACTGGTCCCAGAAGGCCAGTGACCCGAGGCCTGTAAAGTTTGCACCTCTCTGCATGGTGTAGTGAACAGTTCTTTCAGTCTTTGGGAGAAAGGTCCCAAAGTTAGAAATGAAGAGAGATCCAACTCCTGCCAAGAGCCCTAGGATTGAGGGTTGGCCATTGGCCTCAGGGATGCATACCTTCCTGCGACGGGTTTTGATCATGAATTCCCGGGCCAGGTGAGGAGCAGGCTGTGGCTCCAGGGGGCGAATGACAATGCTCTTGTCCAGAGGATCACCAGGAACAATCTAAAAAGTAAGGTGGTTATCGACGGTCTAGGGATCTTCTCTAGGATGCCAGAAATCTCACTTGGGGCTTGGAAGGGGAACAGATCAGTGGGGGCTGGCCTTGAACAGGTGGGAGGCCACCTTGGCCAGTCTGCACCATTTTCTCACCTGCCAATGGTGGAAGACAGATAACGAAAAGGCCTGCCCTTGGGTGTGAGTCCGTAGATCAGTCTCAAAGCCAAAAGAGTCAATGGCGGGGATGAAAGCTTTGATTGTGTAGAGAGGGGAGCCTGGGATGGGTGCATCCTGAGTCACATGCCCCCTGCGACAAAAAACAAAACAAAACCTGAGTCCCTTGTCCTACAGAGACCCAAAGCAGAGAAAAGAATCTGGCCCCAAATGTACCACAACACAGAGTGACCACCAAAGAAAGAATAACCACAATCATGCTATAGTGGGTGGAAAAGGCTTGGGGCCCTCAGTATCATTTCCTGTGGCAGTCAAAGGGGCAGTGACTGCTAGGCAAGAGTGGAAACTCTGATGGGACAAGGTCCTATAGACATTCCCCCTACTGACACACTTCAGTACTTTCCCCAGGGGCTGAGAAGGGCCCAAGAAGGAAACCTCAAATTTGTATCTGCAGTGAAGCTGGGGATTGCCTCAAATCTTTCCTACTTCCTCTAAAAAACTAGCTCACTAGGTTTTAAGGAGCAAATACAGTGTAGGAGGCTCATCTCCTTCCACACAGGAACCCAGTTACCTCTTGCTGGGCTCCTGCTCTCTGCACCCTCCCTGACGTGCCATGCTGGTGGCTCACCTGCGCCTGGCCAGGACGGTGTACACAGCAGAGACACAATCTGCAGGGGCTTGGACCTCTACAAAGTAGTATGGCTCCATCAGACGAGGAGTGGCCTGCAGTGGGGCAAGATGAAAGGTTTCCTCAGCTTGGGGAAGGCTGACCACTGAGGACCTGGGTAAAGAAAAGGCTGGAGGGACTGTAGTCTTGATGCCCCAAAGCCTGGACCTCCTGGACCTGCACTTAATGCCCTCCTGGAGCAGGCTGGCCCTACCCACTCACCATGAGGAAGGCAGAATAGACGACTCTTCTTGCTGTGGGGATGATCTGGCCCCCACCCCGGTGCAGGGGCTCTTGGGCAACCACTGCATCCAGGATCTTAAACTTGACATTTCGAATCACTGAAACAGAGATGGGGAAACTGCTGAGTGAGGAGCAATTGAGGTGTCAAGGGCCCAAGGGCAGAGCAGCAAAGAGCCTCTAGCAGCATGGGAGCTATCTTGAGGCCACAAAAGCTATGGCACAAAATCATCCTGCAGATGGGTGTTTTGATAGGATACCATGGCCTAAAGCAGAGGATAGAAGTTAAGCACACATTCTTTGTGTTCGTTTCAGGTCATGCCCAGACATCATAAAGCTTTCCTAGTTTATGTGCATTTTCTGCAGGTATTTAATTATTTCTGGATAGAGAATAAATTCAAGGAATTGCACATTTCTTCCCACTAAATCCAATCCTGGTCTATAAACTATTCCAATACATTTTCCTCCTGATACTTCTCTTCAAACACATTTCTTCTCAGGACTGAAGAGCAAATGTCAGCCTAGAAATAACTGTATATCCAGGATGTCCCAAGCAATAGTACTAGGACAGGGAGAGAGGAGAGAGAAGAGAGGAGGCTGCCCCAGGACACAGGCTAGCCTTGTGTGCTCTGAGCTGCCTCTCCTGCCAGGGCCCACAGGTGAGCCTATTCCACCTCATATGCCCAGGAACAAGGAGCCTAGAAGACTGTAGCTGAGGACACAGAAGCGCTGGGGGGACTTACACTCATCACAGAGGGGCCCCTCCCTGGTTCCCCACTGGAAACCTTGAACAATGCTGTCCTTCACTGAGCCGAGAAGAGCCTTGTCCACCTGCACAGAACATGAGGGCATGTGTGAGCACACTGACCATGGCAACAACCAGAATTTAGAGGGACGAGAAGGTAGATATACTGGTAAGAAGATTCACGACAAGCCACAACATACTTCTGGGGAAAGTAGTACACTTTGTAGTTTCCTCCACTCAATAGCAAAGAAAGCACCCCACATTGGCTCCCGCCAGTTCTGCTGTACCTCAGAGGGCAGGGTATCATCTACCAAGATGTTGGGGCCAGTGGCATCAGGGCCGAAAGCCCAGATGGAACGTGCAGCCAGCAGATCCCAATCGTACTTGGTCTGGAAGAATTCTCCCAATTTCTTCCTGGGGGAAGGAGGAGAAAATGGAGGTATCCTGCAGCTCTGCGATTATTACCTGCTGGGGTCACAGATTCTGCCTTCCTGGAGGACAGTTTGCTTCCCAGGACAGGTGGTATGAGAGACTCAACAAGTAGGCTATGGCAGCTGGTCTTTTTTTGTTTTAAAGATTTTATTTTTTGGGATCCCTGGGTGGCGCAGCGGTTTAGCGCCTGCCTTTGGCCCGGGGCGCGATCCTGGAGACCCAGGATCGAATCCCACGTCGGGCTCCTGGTGCATGGAGCCTGCTTCTCCCTCTGCCTATGTCTCTGCCTCTCTCTCTCTCTCTATCATAAATAAATAAAAATTAAAAAAAAAAAAGATTTTATTTTTTGCGCATGTGAGAGCGAGTAAGTGAGAGCATGAGTGCACACAAGAAAGCATGTGCACGTGCTCCAGAGCACAAGCAGGGGGTGGGGGGAGGGAAAGGGCAGAGGGAGCAGCAGACTCCTCACTGAGCAGAGAGCCGCTGTGAAACCTGATCCCAGGACCATCATGACCTGAGCCAAAAAGAGATGCTTAACCAACTGAGCCACCCAGGCACCTGGTGCCTCAACCCCTTTCAGCTTTGGAACCAGGGCCACATTCTCTCACCTGTTCCACGTGATCTGGACCACCTCGTTCTCTATGTCCTCGGCAAGGCCCTTCTCAAGAGGCTCTGCAATCATGGTAATCTTGTTCCTAGTCAGAAAGGAAATGGGTAATGATGAGGATCAGCAGAACTGGCAGAAGGGGCATTCCTAAGAAAAGGCCGACAAACCAGTGTTATCAGTAAAAGTGAGAGGGCCAGAGAAGAGCAAAAAGGGTTCATCTTCTGTCTTCTTTCATTCGAATCTATCACTCTTTAAAAAAGTGAGGTCTGGGGATGCCTGGCTGGCTCAGTCAGTGGAGCATGCAGCTCTCGATCTTAGGGTCATGAATTAGAGCCCCATGTTCGGTGCAGAGATTATTTAAAAATAGAATCTTAAAAAACAAAAAACAACAAACAATAAAAAAAAGTGGAGCTGGGCAGCCCCAGTGGCCCAGCGGTTTAGTGCCGTCTTCAGTGCGGGGTGTGATTCTGGAGACCCGGGATTGAGTCCCATGTCGGGTTCCCTGCATGGAGCCTGCTCCTCCCTCTACCTTCCTCTGTCTCTGTCTCTCATGAGTAAATAAATAAAATCTAAAAAAACGAAACAAAACAAAAAAAGCCAGTGGAGCTGCTAAGGCAAATTTAAGATGATTATATTATACAGAAACAAGTGGCAATTAGGACACTCATCTTTAGGGTACTGGCAAAGAATCCACAGCATCACATCTACAGGCCTAAAAGATGAGAGCACTGGCATAAAACTGAAGCATCCTAAGAT